TTTTGTTTTAATATCTTGATTACGATACAATGAAATCCCTTGTATTCATTCATGCGTAGTTACTTAGTACACGGGAAAAGTATGTACTATAAAACTTAGAAGCAACTTCAAGCAATTTGATTGGACGAGAAGTTGTTAATATTTGCTAAAGGCCTATAACGTTATTATCTACTCTGGGTAAACTTTTTACTTCAATATTGAACACAAGATTATGTAATTATCTTGATGAATTATGTATACTAAATGAAAATCAAGCAGGTTTTAGGACGGATTACTCTACGACTGAACACATTTTTACCATACATATTTTATTTGAATTATTGAAATTGAGAAAGAAAAAATTACATTGTGCTTTTATCGACTTTGAAAAAGCGTTTGACTCTTTATAGCGAAATTTACTTCTGTTTAAATTATTGCAAAACGAAGTAAATGAAAAATGTTTTCGTGTTTATTCAGAATATGTATGATTATGCCAAATCTCGTATTATACATCATCTCAAAAAATCCGATTTCTTCCCTTGTGGAGATCGGGGTACGGCAAGAGGAAAACCTTTCACCTGCGCTGTTTTCTATATTTTTAAATGATCTTCAAACTTTTTTTGAAGAGAAAAATATAACTGGCTTAAAACCGATATCATGAGATATCGAAAATGAGCTGACAGTGTTTTTGAAATTAGTTTTACTTTTATATGCGGATGATACTGTTTTATTAGCAGAACATAGCACTGATCTACAATACATGTTAAATACTTTTTACGAATAATGTGAAGGATGGAGAATGAAAATAAATACAAACAAAACTAAAGTTTTGATCTTTTCCAGTGGCAGAATGCCAGCAAATCTCAAGTTCACAGTAAACTGTAACGGTATTGAAATTGTAAAAGAATACAAATATTTAGGTATTTTATTTTCTTTGCTTTTGTTGCGGAATCACCTAAAACTATATGGTATCGTAATTTTTAAAAAAAATGTACAATTTGAAAAATATTTTTCATTTTTATCTTACAGTTTCATTTATACATTATGCAAATATAGATGTGGTAGTCACCATCTGCCGATTGAATCTGGAAGGTGGCTTGGTTTACCGAGAGAAGACAGAGTCTGCCGTCTCTATCTGTGACTCAAACGACATTGGTGACGAGTACCATTACATTATAATTACATTACATGTATGTTACATTATAATACCTTATTTTGATTGGCTAACAGCAATCTCGTGTCATTCAGAAATTAACCTTCATTTCAAAATGAATGTAACATTCATAATGACACGAGCTTCCACAATAAAGTTCACAGGTAAATAAAAGAAAAACTTAATAGAAATCGTGTTTTTTATGATCTTAGCAAAAAAATGTTATTATAAGTATTGAATGTTTCTTTTAGTAATTTTATAGGGTTGTAAAAGCGTTGACCGTGAGCACACTTTTAGAATGAAGCGCTTCCGCGCTTCATGCAAAATGTACTTCGGTCGACGCTTTTACACCCCATAAAATTTACAAAAAGAAGCATTCAATTCTTAAATGAATTGTAGAACATTTGAGTTAGAAAGATAGAAATTTTTACCGCAATACTGTTGGTCAAACCCTAATATCTATAAAGTTGATCAACTGTTTAACTCATCAAATATTGTAATATTAGAAAAATTATGTAAATTTATCAAAGTTGTAAATGTGAAAGTCAGTCCTCCAAGTAAATTTCATTGTATTTTTCACAAATGCATGTAATAATTGTACCTGATAGTTATGTATATATATGTTCTCTATAACTATGTAATTGTAGTTTTATGAGAAATAAAGTATAGTATATATATAGTTAACTTGCAAAATTTTCGATTAGAAGAAAATAAAGTTAATATATATATATATAGGTGATTACTCACTGTTTGATTTTTTAATAGAGAGTCATTGGTATCGAGAAAGCAGAAGTGGGATTATTTACTTTCAAAAGTAAATAGTTACATTTCAATTATATTGCACAAGATTCAATTAAATAATAATAACTTTATATATTTTTTAGTAATTAAATTAATTACATTACAATTACTTCAGAAAAGTTATCAATTACACAACAATTTACATTTTTGAATTTGTTCAAATCTATTGAAGAAAAATTAAAAAGCAAACATGACGCTAGATATCAACAGATCATAACTCAGAAGTTTAGTTATGTTAAAGCACCAAAGACAAGGACCTTTCCTATATTTTCAAATACTATTTTTTTTACTCCGAAATAAATATTAAACGGAATGTTTTGATTATTTTTCAAAAAGACTAAATATAGCTGTATTAGATTTTAAGCTAGGTCTACATAAAAGTTAGTTTTATTGTCTCGAGTATCCGTTTACCTAACTACGATAACCGTTTTTTTCCTATATGATTTTGTCCTTTTTTAATTTATGATTTTGATTTACTCTATAGTAAAGGTAAATTTAGAAAAGTGCTTCGGACGCAACAAATTTATTAAATATTATTTTCATTTACAAGCAGTTTTGATACCCCTGCTGGTGGACAGTTAGTCACAGCTCAGTAGTTCGTGTTTCAGTACAGAAATTATTTATAACGTACATTTATAAAATTTCGTGTTGATGAAATGATATTTTTAACCTCGGGTAAAATTGACCTTAATTGAATTTGGCTATTCTTTTTATATCCCTTTTGGTTACGTATTTCCATCCCTGACTTTCAAATGTTAAGGTTAAGCATACCTGGTGAAGGTAAATCCAGAAAAACGCTTCAGACGCACGATACAATACAAAGTATCATTTTCAGTTAGTATCGTCTCACAATTGTTTAATTAATAGATTTTTGCATAATGTTACTTTCGAATGATTAATACGATACTCAATCAGATTTGTAATTTTTTTTATCAGCTTTCTCTCTTCTGCTGAACGGATTCGAATAAGCAGGAAAGTGATAAACAATTGGTACTTTCTAATGAATTGTAATCTGAAGATATAATGCATAAAATTGTCATAGGAATTTTTATTTTTCAAATTTTACAAACTAACAATAAAGTAAACCATACCAACCCAAAAAATAACAACCACTAACAACACATAGTACAGAAATCCTGACTTGATACAGACACCAAACGCATTGTAGTTAAATCAGTTGTACATGTACACAACCTCACCCTTTACATATCAATATAGTAAAAGAAAAGCACACAATTGAAAACCTGCTTAGTCGCTACTGCAGCAAGCTTTTTGATGTAGCCAAACTGTTTGAATACTGCAGATGAAGAAAACAATTAAATTAGAAACAACACTCTAACAGGTTTCATTGAGCTTCTTCATAAAAATATACTTAAATTTGTTGCGAAGTCAATTAAGTTAACTAATACTTGTCAATTAGAATTTATTGCTTAATTTACAAGTATTCAAAGAGCGATTAAAAGTTCAAATAAATGTTTTTCACTGAGACACTGGCCGAGATCTGACGAATTCTGGTGTGATCGAATTGTGTCTTGAAGTCCAAAATGAGAGATCTTATATAGTCTAGTGGTCCATACAAACGGTCCATAGCTGTAGGCCGGTTACGTAGTAGTCTGGTTGTGGAGTAATACTAGTCTGTGGTTAATTGTCAAACTATGCAATTAACCCCTGACGGATACATGTTATTTCACAGTAGACATGGTCATTTAGTGGCTGCAGGATATATGTCAATAATATTCGTACAGATTGTTATTAAGTGTCTAAAGGTTACATGTAATCGTCTCGGTTTTGCTGTATGTAGTTACTTCCTGATGATTATCGTATGGAACACAATTGTGTTACATAATGCCTTCCCTCCAAAATAGAACGAAAGTTCAATAAAATACGGTATTTTTCTTCCTGTAGGTTATTCTAATAGTTTATTGTAAGGTTTCCGGTAACCATCACCACATATCTAAAGTTTATAAAGTTCTACGAGTCCAATATCATGATATAATAAGTTCATCACATTCATCAAGTCTAATAGCTGGATATATTTACACATAGTTCGTTCGAATCATAAGTTCAATATTTCGGTATACATAGTTCATGTTCTATTTCCATCACCATCATAGTAAGTTGTTCCTCAATACTGGGTAGGAACGCAAATGTTTATACAATTCTATTTACACAGTTCATAGGGTCACTTTTAAAATTATTTACACGGTTCGTCATCTGCTAGTGGATTCGGTCGTCTACGTTGTATGGTTTACAATCCAGTCCTTTTACGAAGTAGTCGACGTATCTAGCTCTGGGTACATCTTTCTCAAGAGACTGGTAGCATCGGTCTTCGGTCTTGCATCGTCTTTGAGTAATGGTGCAGAGGGAATCTTCTCTCTGGAATCAGGTACTTCTGTCCCAACCATTTGCGTTGTCACCATTTGGTACCCATCGTTCGTGGCATTAGAACCCGAACTCACACCTTTCTTTTTGGCTAACCAAGATTTGTTTCTAAAAAACTTACAGTACAAAAATATAGCTATTCCAATGAAAATCGCACCCAAACCCAGGGATAAACCTACTCCCCAATTTGGAAATTCAAAATCGTTTTCAATTCCCCTTAAATTTCTAAGTTTTTCAATCAAAGCGTTCATAGGAATTTGTTTAATCGCCTTTAGTTCTCTTGGTAGTTCAAGCTTTGTAAAATTTGGCAAAGCAGCATGAAAGGGTTCCCATAAACTTGTATTCAGTACTTGAAAGGTATTTAAGAATCTTTCGAACGTTTTTTCTGTTAAAAATGTACTTTCCATTTGATAAGTAGGTAATAAGGTCAAATGATCACTCGTAGCGGTACAAGTTCGCTTTAAATTAATTATAGTGGTAGGAGGATTAATTATCTGATCCGTCAACATGTTTGTATTGTCATCACATCTAATAGTGATTCTAAATTCATTAATGGTTGTAACTGCCCACATACTATCGGTCAAATAAGTTGCCATAGGCAAAATTGTGTTTGGTCGTACTTTCACTGTACATCTTGTTTTCCAATTTTCTTTATTGGCAAAAAAGGCTATGATACATAATTCACTTAAATTAACTGGATAAACTGGACTTTTAATTTCACAAAAATTAACTAAAGGATTGGAACACTTGTCAATTTCATTGGTATTTAGCAGCATATATTTAGTTTTTTCTTGGTTTGCAGCAATAACTTCTGCTTCTAATTCATACTGAGCAACCATATTGCTCGAGTCAGATTGTTTATCAGTTATCGTAGTAGGAACAGGCAAGTTGTGAATCTTATAAATTTCATAAGTGTCTCTTATATCTAGTAATGGTAACGTAATGATAATGATTATTTTGTTTTCGTCCAAAACTGTACTACAGGTCAAAAATTTATAAAAATTCCAAATATCTTTAACTTCGTCACCAGGTATCTTTAATGTCGCCGGTAGTCGTCGTTTTATGTCAGTCAATAATACTCGTAAATTACCGGGTGATATAAGACTGGGTGACATGTGTCCTAAGGACAACATGTTTAGTTGTAATTGCAAATGGTTTAAATAATCCCCGGCTATATTCATAAGGTCCTTTATTTCACCTATTATCATGTCCATATGCAAATAAGCTTGTAAATAACTTCCCATAACTTCAATTTGTTTTTCTAAATCCGTAGCAAAAGTTTGAAGTCTATTTCCAAGATCTTGAACACTTTCAATCAACTCATTAACCTTGTGTCTATTTTCAGAAACATGTGTTTGTGTAGTGTTTAAGATAGTTAACCCATCTTGAACAATATGACGAATTGCATCTTGATTTTGTGCCAAAGTTTTGATATTTCTTCGAATTTTTGACAGGTCGCTGTCTGATACAGTACCAAATAAAAAACTTAATGCTTTGCCTATAATAGGAAATAAGCTACGTTTAGTTTTAAACTTTGCCGTTTCGTCGTAATATAAAGATTGGTAATCATTGAATTGTGATTGTAAATAATCTTTAGTCCGATTTAATCCTTCAACCTCCCTTTGTAGACTTAAGATAGTAGCCAAAATGTGTTTTTTTTCTGGGGTGTAAAACATAGAAATTGTGTGAACTTTTTGTGTAGCGAGAAAAGCCTTGCCCAAGTCTTGTTCTATTTTATTAAGAAATAATTCAAAAGGATCCAAGTCTACGACAAAAGTAATGAGCCAATTTGACCTTGTGGTTGATATTTCCTTAATTTTTTGAAACATGACATTTTCCTTGACAATGAATTGGCTGGTTAAGCCAAAAAGAACAAGTGAGAACCACCACCACTTCATCACTGGTTCTCCCTAAAAATAATGATACATATATAAATTATCATAATATATTTTATTTATCTGGCCTTTATCAATTTTGGAATTCATATGATAGTCCTGAATAAAATGTTTGGTTGTTTTCCTTCACAGTCTCAAATTTAATTATCAGATCGAAAATGCGTATCCGGTGCATTTTCCTTGCCTTGTTTAGAATCACTTCTTGGTGGTAAACCCCAAAGCGATTGGATCGTTTTAACCATCCAATGGCTTTGAAGTTCTCCACCGTCCACTTCCTAAGATGCTCCTGATAGGATAAGTTATGTATTTCGGCAAATTGTTTCCGGCGTCCAATTATTTCTGCGAATTTTGTGGGTAAACCACAATAATTGTCAATTATAATTGGATCCGACAGGTTAATAAGCTTCTGTATAGCGTGGAATTCCTTAAATAGAGGTTCCCTTCTCTTTCTATCTAGTATTTCCCGGAAATAATTGATCTTAAATTGTACATATATGTCCCACCATAAATTATCAGGTAATAGTTTCCACAAATAGAGGGATTCTAGCTGGGCAAAGCTTTCTTCATTGTCTGCCATTCTGTAAAATGAGAATAAATACTAGTTTTATTACATAGTTTATAAGTTTTAGAAATTTTTAAATGATTTGCATCCTTCTTACGACCTATAAAGCCAATTGATACCTACATAATACCTATTAAAGCCCTTACTAAATTTTGTACATGTTCCTTGGTTACCAATTTTGTTTCGTTAGCCCCATTATCAGTTGGTTTCCGATTATTTTTTATTTTAACCCGGTTTACAGACATGTTATCTTCCATATCGGAAATTTCAGATTCAACAGGCGAAGAGTGACTGCTGGACATTTTATCATCAATGTCAGAAACTTCAGAATTAGTAGACGAATTTTCTACTTCTTCTCTTATGATTTGATCATCACTTTCTATTTCACTATTATTGACATTATTTTGTTCTGAGAAAATTTTCTCCCCCCTTAATTTTTTAGATAACTCCATTAATGGTATATCATCTTCTTCATCAGAATTTTCCCTTTCTTTTTTATATCTTTTTGCAATTTGATTTAACGGAGTGTCTGAATCTATGCTTTCATCATCAGAGGAGTCTTCTGATTGTGACTCAATGGGAACTACATATGCAGCTTTACGTAATGTCCTACCTTGATTGTTGTTAGGAATTTCCCAATCTAACTTAGCCAAACGAATTTGTTCAGCATGAGCCTTTGTGGTTGTCCCATCTAACTGATTTTTTAAAATAAAACTAACAGGTGAAGTTTGTTCTATAATCCTATAGTACGGAGTCCATTTTTTTGAAAGTTTGCTTGCCCTTCTATGATTTTTATAAAAAACTGGGTTTCCTACCTCAAACCTTATATCTTTGCTATGTTTGTTTGCGTACTTAGCTTGTTTCTGCTTAGATTTTTTCATGGTTTTATGAACCAACATAAATGATTTATGTTGTTGTTGCAAGGCAATTTTATGATATTCTTCCCCATTGTATTTTCTCCTAGGCTGTAAAATGTTATCTAAAGGTAAAACTGGATCCCTGTTATATAATGCATAAAAAGGTGAAAGTTGGGTGGACTCATTGATATTGAATCTAATTGCTGCTAAAGCTTGGTTCAAGTATAAATCCCAAGTTGTGGAATGATCTTCTATTAATTTTGACAAAACATCATGTAATGTTCTATGAAATCTTTCTATTTTAGCATTACCCTGAGGGTGATAGAATGAAGTTTTAATATGCTTTATATTAAGTTCCTTACAAACTTCCTCCATAGCCTTAGAACAGTTTTCCCCTCCGTTATCACTTGTTAGAATTTGAATCCCAGAATGCCTTGAAGTAATTTCTTCAATCAAAAGATGTGCAACATTGTCAGTGCTTTTTGTTGCGACACTAAAAGCTTCTGGCCACCCTGAGTATAAATCGATAAATCCTATAATGTACCTGTTACCTGACATGGTAGTTGGATACGGTCCACTCAAATCTACCCCTACATGACAAAAAGGATAAGGCGGAATTTTTGTTTCCTGAATTGGCGCTCTAACCTTTTGTAAATTGCGTGATTGACAAGGTACACAAGTAGTGACATAATTATACAATTCCTTAAACATGTTTGGCCAAAAATATTTTTGACGAATGGAATCAAATGTTTTGTCAATGCCCATGTGCCCATTCTTATCATGATATTGTTCTACAACTGCTTGTTTTATATGAGAAGGTATGTACAACCTTATAATAGGATCATTATCTACATTTGAAATGTAATAAAGTATGTCATCTATTATGATGTACTTGTTTTGCACTGCCTCGGGTACCATATCGCTTACAAGTTGTTCCTTTAACTCACGTAATGTTTTGTCTTTCATTTGTTCGATTGACATATCAAATTCTTCAAACTGAAAATTTTCTTTTTCTGGAATATCTTCAACTAATTTATCATTATTTGCATAATCAGAAAAATGAAATCTATTTGAATTAATCACATTAATTTCGTAAGTATTGTCACTAATATCCGGATACGGATCTGGATTTTCGTTTCGTTTTTCATCTGAAGGTAATCTAGACATAAAATCTGCACACACGTTTTGGGGCCCTGGAATATACTGAATAGTACAGTTATAACCCGTTATGTTCAATGCCCACAGTTGAATTTTCTTATTTTGCATTGGTGATTCCAGAATGTATTTCAAAGGTTTGTGATCTGTTTTTATCACAAATTCAGCATTATACAAATAATGATTCAATTTTTGTAAGGCATAATGAATCGCAAAGGCTTCTTTTTCAATGGTTGACCAACGTGTTTGCGTATCACTCAATTTATGAGATAGGAAGTAAATTGGTCTTTCAACTTCATTTTCACCCTCTATTGGGCTGGCTTGTAATTGCGTTAAACAAGCACCTACACAATTATCACTAGCGTCCGTGTAAAGCACATATGGTTTATTCAAATCTGGATATGCCAATAAGGGAACTTTCACTAATTCACCCCTTAATTTTTCAAAAGCAACTTGACAAGTGTTGGTCCAATCAAAAACCTTGTTTTTCCTAGTTAAGGCAACTATAGGCTCCGCAATTTTTGAAAATGAAGGTACAAATCTGCGATAATAACTCAAACAACCTATTAATCCTCTAACTTCCCTGACATTCGAGGGAGCTTTCATGCCTTGAATGGCCTTAACCTTTTCAGGATCCGGTTTTAGTCCATCTTTACTTATTATAAAGCCTAAGTAATTAGTTTCATCTTGCAAAAAATTACATTTTTTCAATTTTAATTTTAGTTTGTGTTGTCTTAATCTATCAAAAACTTGTTGTATGTGGCCTAAATGTTCTTCCACTGTTTCGGAAAATATCAAAATGTCATCTATGTAAGCAGTTGAAAAATGTTCTAACCCTTGTAGTACCTCTGTAACTAATTCACTAAATAAACTGGGCCCTGAGGCGAGACCAAATGGCAATACATTGAACTCAAATAATCCCTTGTGACATACAAAAGCAGTCTTTTCCTTATCCGACTCTTTGACCTTTACCTGATAATATCCTGACTTTAAATCAAGTGATGTCATTACTTTGGCTTTACCTACTGAAGCAAGCAAGTCATCAATCAGGGGCAACGGAAAGGAATAAATTTTACTGGCTGCGTTCAGGCTGCGATAGTCCACGCACATCCTTGATGTTTTATCCTTTTTAGAAACGATAATAATAGGCGCAGCCCAAGCCGACCTAGATTTCCTAATAATATTAGCCTCTAATAATTCCTCAATAGCCTTATCTATTATGTTTCTCTGATTGAGAGGGGCCCTATAGGGTTTTAATCTGATAGGTGGATGATCCCCGGTATCAATAGTCATTTGCACTGTATCAGTGCACCCCAAATCTTTGTCTGAAGTTGCAAAAATATCTTCATTATCCCTTAACATTCTAAGTATATCCTTTTTAAATTCTTGTGGTACACTTATTTCAGACTCATCTAACTTTTTGAGTTCCGAAGTTCCTTGTGATTGATTAACATTGACTAAATTTATTTCTTCTAAATGAGAAGCCTTACCTACTACACAACCTCTTCTTAACCTAATTGATTTGTTTGTGTTATTTACAATCATCAAAGGAAACTTCCTATTTTTATTAAAATTAACCACCGTATTACTTATCATTAAGCCTGGTTCTGTACTAACATACCCTGAAGCTACAGGTGAGATTTCTAACAATTTAGTACTTCCAAAACTTGGATTGTTCTTAAGGCCTACGGGACAAACATTAATTGTTTGTGGTTTTAATACGGCATTTACGGTTAATCTTACAATTGAAGCCACATTAATATCTTCTTCTAATGGAACATAATTTTTTTGAATTCTTAAACATCCTAAATCAAAATATAACCTAACTCCATTTTGTACTAACCAATCTTTTCCTAAAATAACATTTCTGTTCATGTCTCTAACAACATAAAATAATTGAGTAACTTTTGTACTACCTATTTTAAATGTAAGGTTTGCACAACCTTCTACATGTAAAGACCCCCCATTTACGGACTGTAAGTTAGCCGTTTTCTTTAGTAATTTTGGTTTATCCCTCAAAGTTTCAAAAATTCTTTTGTGTATCAAAGAAACACTAGCGCCTGAATCTACGAGAGCTCTATATCTTTGATTTTGAATTTTGATTAAAGTTGAATTTGGAGCTCCTGCAACATTTATAGAATAAGTAGGTAATTTCTTTTCAATTTTACTCTTATCACCGGCTTCAACGTGACAAGAGCGCTTTAGTTTTCCTGATATACACCCCAGTTTTCTACCATGTTAACAGTCCTAGGTTTTCTATTTGGGCAATTTGGCCTAATATGTCCCCGTTGATTACACTGATAACAAATTATCTCATTATTTCTTCCCGAATTCCCTTGATATTGTTGCGTTTCAACTGCATTTACTTGTCTATATGTTCCCCTAGAACGACAATCTCGTGCTATATGCCCTACCTTACCACAAGAATAACAATTAATTTCCCTGTTTCTACCCGAATTTCCGTGATATGTTTGCATTTCTACGGCATTAATTTGTCTCAAATTTCCCCCAGAATGACAATCACGTGATACATGACCTACTTTACCACAAGAATAACAACGTTTTGCATCACGATAATGATCAATTTCCATTGGTTCATGAGAGTTCAAAGGTTCAGTCCGTCGTGGTCTAGTTAATGTCATTGGTCTTATTGTTTTATACCTTGGTTCGTCTACCCTTTCCGTTCTTAAAGTAAATCTTTTTCTCAAATTTTGTTCAGTCATTGCACTTTTAACTGCCAAAGAAAAAGTAGCTGGGTTTTCTCTCATTAATTTCATTTTTAAATAAGAATGAGCCAAACCATCTATAAAAATGCCTACGAGTTCCCTTTCTATAGCTTCATTATTTCCATCTAAATCTGAATATGCCTCATTTGCCAAATTCAATAAATTTTCTGCATAAATTTGAACAGACTCGTCCCCTTTTTGTTTTAATTGTCTCAAAAGAGTTGACGCATGTTGAGGGTCCGTAATTTCTCCAAACCTTGAAGTTAATTCTTTTTTTAATTGTTCCCAAGTGGTATCCCGATGGTCTCTTAAATACCTTTGTATGTAATCTGAACAAGCCCCTTTACATGTTTGAAAAGCTATTTCCTTAATTCGATCCCTATCATTAAAAAGTAAAGCATATTTTTCAATTGACTTAATCCAGGCTTTAAAATCTTTCGTATTACCTTCAAAAGGCGTTATTCCTTGAACTACGTTTTGAGAACAAATGGCTGATTTTAACCCTTTTAGTTCGGCGGCTACATCGCCTTGAATAGTAACTACTTCCCTTAACCCATGAAGTTCGTTCGCGACACCATTGAAAGCTAATTCTACTTTTTGTGCTGACATAGAAGTATCTTGGTTATCCATTAAAAAAGAATGAAAGCTATGGTAATTGCAACTTACGTGGTTCCTTTCTATCGTATAGTGGTTAGAAGTCCTGGTTGATCCTTGGTCTGAACGGCACCAATTTGACTTATGTTGCGAAGTCAATTAAGTTAACTAATACTTGTCAATTAGAATTTATTGCTTAATTTACAAGTATTCAAAGAGCGATTAAAAGTTCAAATAAATGTTTTTCACTGAGACACTGGCCGAGATCTGACGAATTCTGGTGTGATCGAATTGTGTCTTGAAGTCCAAAATGAGAGATCTTATATAGTCTAGTGGTCCATACAAACGGTCCATAGCTGTAGGCCGGTTACGTAGTAGTCTGGTTGTGGTGCGTCCGAAGTGCTATTGAAAGATGAGAGAATTTTCCCGAGTTTAAATATATTACTGTTCAATCTTTTAATCCTGTTTACGACATAAAAATAAAAGAGGAAGGTTAAACAATTCAGCCTTATATTGATTTTTTTACGATAAATGTTATGTTGTTAGAAAAGAAGCTGATAACTGCTAAACATTTAATGTATTTGAAAGTCTGTAGTATTTATAACCCTGTTAAAGTAAATTTTGTGTAAATGCAAGGTAGGGTACGCTCATTAAAAGTCGTCAATATAAGAACATATTCTAACAAACCGTACAAGTTGTGAAACGTACACTTAAAAGGATACCATATGGGTGTTCTAATTCAAAACACTAAATGATAATAATATGGCTTAACTCCATTGTTTTTTTATGAGTGACTAAGGACATAACGTCCTAACGATTGAAGTTGCACAAAAGAACATGTCCCCATTATTGATAAATAATGCAGAGGCAGTACATGAAAGTATATTACTATGTATCTGAATGAGAAATCTACTCATCAAGCCTAACTTTTTTTTAATAAAGCAACAGTAGTTTACCGATGTTCAAATCTCATAACTCGATTAAAAAGACAAATCAACAATATTGTTTAAACATAATAAATGAACTATGCAACTTGATTTATTCATTCACATACTGTTACCTGAAATTTGTTATTTCATAATAGGGATTTTTTGTTCAATATGTTAACCCTTTCTTGGATACAGTCCACGAAGCCCAAAAACCAATTTTTGTCACATTAACCTATTATGTCTGTCTTGGATGCTCCCCAATAATGTAATGTCAATATAACGGAACTATAAACATCTGTCATACAAGTGGGAGGCTCAGTTTGCTAAAAAATCAGGTTTAACCCACCATTTTGTTCGGGAAATGCCTGTACTGAAAGAGAGGCAAAAGATACCAAAAGGACATTCAAACTCATAAGTCGAAAATAAACTGACAACGCCATGGCTAAAAAAAACAGACAAACAGACAAACAACAGTTCACAAAACACACAACATAGAAAACTAAAGACTAAGCAACACAAACCCCACCAAAAACTGGGGTGATCTCAGGTGCTACAGAAGGGTAAACAGATCCTGTTCCACATGTGGCACCCGTCGTGTTGCTCATGTATGTTACTGTGTATTCGAATGAGAAATCTACTCATCAAACTGTGGTAAGCATGAGTTGTTTAATAAGGCAACAGTAGTTTACCGATGTTCAAATGTACCAAGCAAGGAATATTACAGTTGTTTTTCATTCGTTCGGTTGATAGATAACGTTTGATCTTGTCATGTTTTATGGACTTCCCCCTTTTTAGATTTACCTTTGAGTTCGGTATTTTTGTTATTCCTGTATATCTGAGAATGAAGGTTTTAAATCAAATTAATTTAAACTTTTTGTATGTATGTTTTTGTTATAAATGCATGCCGCCTGTTAGTAATATTATCTAGCTATTATAAATAGAGTGCATTTGAATCTTCACGAAGTAAATAGGTAGAAATCTACAAAGAACTTACCTTCCCTTATTGTTGTTGCTTACCATGTATAGCATATGATAAGAAAAATATGAATGTTTCTTTTATATCTTATTGTTACCAATATAATGTTTCTTCAATCTTAACCAATAAAAATCTTATCCTCATAGTTATTATATTATATCATGTAATGTCGTATCCAGAGTTATGAATCCCAAGCATATAACTTCATCCAGTAATATGAGAGCAATATTGGTTGATCTCATATATTATTCAAATAAATAAGTAAGAAAGTATCTTTTTTATATTTTTTTTTATTTGTATTTTTTAATTTACATTTTTCTTAATATACATGTAGTTTTTTTTGTTTTTGTTTTTTTTTTTTTTTTTTTGGGGGGGGGGGGGGGTATTATTTAACAGCAGGCAGTCTAACAAATGCAAAAACAAACGTTATAAATTGGATGCGTCCAAAGGTTTAATCTGGCGAAAATACCAAGAGTACATTGAAAACTAAATAATCAAAAGAAACTTACAACACCATGGCAAAATAAAAGATAACAAAAAGACAAACCGGTTTACCAAACAATGCATAGAAAACTAAGGACTGAGCAACGCGTACCCCACCAAAAACAGGAGGTGTAACATTTACATAAACTTATACAGATAACAGCACGTCACTATTAGCTGTTGCGGTACTATTCCAAATATCTGATTTATCGATCTTTAAAACCAGTTTTAAAAATTTCAATAGAATTGATAGACGATTGGATGAGTTGTTGTTTAATGGTCAATTGGCATGTACAAAATGCATATCAGGACGAGAACATATTAATGTGATATCTTCTTTGCACTATACCGACACGTTGAGTCGAGTTTTTTTAACGTGCTAAGAGGTGTGATGAGATGATTACAGCCATACATTTTCTCATTGACAATATTAATGTACGTTTCGGCAATAAAGTTTATCGACAGATTGTAGGTATTCTTATGGGCTCCTATTGTGCCCCTTAAATAGCAAACTTGTTCCTGTACTGTTATGAATCACTGTTTATGGCCAAACTCAGTAAAGACCCGTCTAAATTCCATTTAATTAATAAATTCAACAACACTTACCGTTATCTTGATGATATTTTTTCGTTAAATAATCAGGAATTCTCTAAATATACTGCCGAAATTTACCCACAGCAACTTACTTTAAATAAATCAAATATTAACAGCAATAAGTGTCCGTTCTTAGATTTAGATATTTAAGTTTTACACCAGAAACCCTACACAAACATGTACGACAAAAGGGGTGCTTTTTCTTTCCCTATTGTTAATTTTCCTTTCTTGGACGGTGATGTTCCTCTGGCAATATCTTACGGTGTTCATATATATCACAACTCGTTCATTATGCCCGTGTCTGTAGTGACGTTTTGGATTTCAATGAGCGTTATCTATGTATTACTGGTAAATTATTAAATCAGTGATTTCGTTACCACAAATTACTTAAAACCTTTACTAAATTCTTCCATAGATACAAAGATTTGGTTTGCAAGTTTGGCTGTACCTGTAAAAAAAACATACTTCAGACGGAACAGCACATCCTACATTTTACGGTGACGTTGTTTACCAAGCCCGGAAATCTATAAACTTATTAATCCTTTAAATAAACTTATTCTGAAAGGTTACCAACTCAACACTGTAATTAGATCTTTGAATATTGTTTTTATTGGTATAAATATTGATTTTGTTTTCAGTAAATTAAAATCATACTAATAGTTTTGTTATACACATATGCACTTTAATGGTACTACAATCTGTCGATCGTTTGGCATTTTGGCATTGCACAAGATCATGTTTTTCTCCGACTGTTAATGACGTCTTTACACTAAGTCCATTGGATGTGGGATGTGTATTGATTGATATTTTAGTCTTAGATACATGATTTGTTTTTATTAGTTGTTATTGGCTTTGAACTAGTCGTCAGTAACTGCGAGTACTCACAGATCTGTACTTAGTGTCCTTTTTGTTGTTAGGGATGGGGATGAATAAATACACTCCCACGTCCAGTCTGTGTTTATGTTTGATGTTTTTTTCTGCCTTGTATCGACCTGATGAGTTCAGCCTTTTTCAACTGATTTTTTTATAGTCTGTTGATGTTGTGCTGTTACACCACTGTCCCCACCACATTCTTTATGTGCCTGTCCCAAATCAGGATCCTGTAGTTCAGTGGTTGTCATTGGTTCGTGTCTGTCATATATTTTTTACGTTAACCGTTTTGTCATAAATTATGCCGTTAGTTTTCTCAATTGAATTGTTTCATATTTTTCATGTCAGGGCCTTTTATAGCCGACTATGCGGTATGGGTTTTTCTCATTGCTGAAGGCCGTACGGCTGCCTATAATTGCTTACATCCACTTTATTTGAACTTTGGTGGATAGTTGTCTCATTGGCAATCATACCTCATCTCCTTATTTTTATATTGTGTACAATATGAAAGTCCACAGGAACACATGTCATCCTTCTCGAATCAATATTCTGAGTACGAGCTGACCAGTATGTTATTTCTTGCCGTTGGCGAGGTTTAAGTCTTTGGTGTTGTCCAGCTGGGAATTGGACCCTGGACCTCCTCTTGTCTTACACGCTACCAAGGGGCACCGAGATGGTTATATAATAGATAAGTATGTAGAAACACTGGGTGCAAAAATTAGGAGTTCGAAATACTCTATACAAAAATACTGAAAACAAGCAGTTAAGGTAGATTAATATCGAGAGAATATTTTAATAATTTCCAAAAATGTATATAAATATCATGATTTTCTCGAAAATAATATTGAAAATATGGTTCACATATTTCTAGTAAGATCTAATTCGCTTGTTTTCTGCTATTTGACAATCCAAGATATCGGAAGACACCCGATCTACCTTAGAGTGCAACGACTTTTACGGTATAAGGGATAAACTCCAATATTAATCGAAATATTTTTTATCATTGACAACATATTTGTTATGTTTGGAGGACTTGTCAAAAGAAAATCGGAATTTCTCGATGGAGACCAACAATGCCTCTCTGTTTGTCGATTTATTCTTTTATTTTTATGAGTTTGAGTTCATACTTAGCTTTTTAAGAAAAATGAAAAGAAGCTGGCATTGGCCTTTACCTTCGTTTCATGGATGCTGTCCTTTCACTGAATAATAAAATATGGTTACTTTGTTGACTGCATCTATCATAATGAACTTGAAATAAAGGGTACCATAAAAACAATTAATATAAATAAGAAGATGTGGTTTGAGTGCCAATGAGACACCTGTCCATCCAAGTCACAAATTAAGCCTGCTTCATATCTTGGCTCACATCTAGTAATTGACAATGAGGGTCGATAAATTACTCAACTTTATGACACATTAGATGAGTCAATTTATCCACTGTCAAATTGACATTACTGTGTAGGAACATTCCAGCAGCGCCTACAAATGGAGTAATTATCTCCCAGTTAATACGAAACTCCAGGGCGGGCTTTTCCTATCATTGTTGTATTAAAATGGGGCTACCGATTACAAAGAAGCTATTGCACCAAGGGTTCCAAAGTGTACATTGAAGTCATCCCTCAGACGAAAAAATGCCGCCATGATTTTGTTGACTGTTATGGAATATGTTCGTCACAGATAACCACGTATATATTTCACCTAATTGTCATAGTCGTAGTCCTGGTCTCTTTTTCTAGATTGTGACATATCTGAATGCAACTGATCATTGTATTTTACTTGCAATGAGTAACACAACGGTTGCCACTAGCGGAACAGGAACTGATTACCATTCCTAAGCACGAGAGTTCACCTTCGGCTTTTAGTTAGGTTTGCGTTGCTCAATCTATAGTTCTTTTTGAAATATTTTGTTCTTGTTGTTTGTCTTTTCGTCTATTTTCTTTCTAAACATGGTGTTTTCTGTTCTTCTTGTATTTTTGATTGCCCCTTAATGGGTATGTTCTCTCTTTTCTGTACATTTTCTTATTTACTTTCCATGTAATATTCTTTGAAAAAATTACGAACATGCATGCCATGGCAATATAGAATCTATATTAAAAACAACCACTTTTTTTTAATAAATAATATCATGGTATATAAATTGGAATAATGATTATTAAATGTGCTCGTTTGTGAAAAAGTGACTTTATTAGTGGGTATAGGTTTACAGATCATCATACAATGGACATATACAAATATAAAATAATGAATATCATTTATTAAACATACATGCTATACCACATGGATATCTTAAAATTGCACAATTATCAAAAGGCGAAACATTAAGTCACATAATTGAACAAAAGTTTAAAGATAAGACTTGCACAAATTAATAAATATTATTTTCGATAGCGTCTAAAAATAGAGATTTTAACTAAAAATATCAAACAGGAAAAACCCAAATTACTTCCTGGTATGTTATACTACCCTCTCCTTTCAAGTGATAATGCAAATTACTGATGAAAATAACGCCCGGAACTAAGTTAACATTTAGAAAGATTCCATGAAAAGCTATTGATAAGAATTAAAATCAAATGTAACCGGAATGATAAATTAAAGGACATATTGAATCCATAAAAGCCACGTAAAATATGGAAGGTACGCCATCAAGAAATGATGCGGATTTACCGATGTCAACTGTTTTACAGGTAGATTTACAATAATTAATCTGTATTTAACTGTCTAGATAAGCACACGATATTTTTTGTGAACATGTTTAAACATAACAGGCATATGACCTATTGATACTATCGTTGTCAATCATATATTTTATGTATTATAATACAATGCACTTTGTGTTGATTACAAATAAGAAGATGTGGTATGAGTGCCAATGAGACAACTTTCCATCCAAGTCACAATGTGTAAAAAGTAAACAATTTATATAGGTCAAAGTACGGCCTTCAACACGAAGCCTTGGCTCACACCGAACAGCAAGATATAAAGGGCCCCAAAAAGACTAGTGTAAAACAATTCAAACAGGAAAACCAACGGTCTAATCGATATAAAAAACGAGACACGAGAAACACTTATGAACCACACCAATAAACGACAACCACTGAAAAACAGGCTCCTGACTTAGGAGCCTTTATCGAATGTTACAATTGCCTTGTGCTAATAAATATTGCCTATTGTCTATTGTCTATCATTTACCTAAATAAATTAATGCAATAGTCTCAGGTTGTTTACAAGATTACTATACTGTAAAATTTTACAAGACAAACAAATCAGTCATATCCTTAATTAGACTATTGAACAATCCATAACAAACAAACAGACAAGGGTCTACTGATTTAAAAATAATCAGTTAAACGTTTCTTGTCTATGTACCGAAATACTCAATCTGTATGTCTTTAGGTCACAAGGTCACATTTACAAAATTTCTTCATGTCACCAGGTCAATTTTTAAGAAAAAAACCCCGAACAAAACTTATATCAGTTTTAGACATTTTGACAGGTCACATGTCTTTTTAAAGGAGTTTTCAGGTCGCAAGGTCGTCTGCCAAAACCCCCAAAGTCGCAAGGTCGTCTGCCAAAACCCCAAAAGTCGCAAGGTCGTCTGCCAAAACCCCCAAAGTCGCAAGGTCGTCTGCCAAACCCCCCCCCAAGGTCGCAGGTCGGATTTGTCCAAGTTTGAGCAACAGCTGTGGTCTATATGTTCATATGATAAAATAATCATGAATGAAAATATGTGCGACAGTTACCATGCGATAAAAATAACCAAACGACAACTAGCAGGCAACCTTAAGACTTTCTACAATAGACAAGTGTCTACACCTTATGTCAAGCTAAAAAAAAAAGCGTCCATTAATTAGAGGCAACAGTAGCTTACCGAACATACTAATCAAGTAAAAATTAAAAGATCTGAAGGAATCGCATTAACCCTAAAAGGAGTGAGACCTGGTTCGAAATCAGGGTAGACGTCTCCTGTTGCGTATGCATCACCCGCCATTCAAATCTACACTCAATCAAAGTGACTCAATAAGGATTATGACAAAGTCGGTAAATTTACAGATCAGAAAAGCGTCTTTGACCAAAATTCACTAATGCAAATACCAAAAAGAATGAAGGTATGACATAAAACAAGCACTAACAAGATTTCTTACTTGGGACATTCACATGAATACATTTATATCGTAGATGTGTTTTTGTGTTGTATGTCTGTGATGTATTATTTAACAGTTTTGGCTGCTGGATCCCAAATATTGTTACATTAACATTAATATATAATGTCTGTTTTGGTTGCTCACCCAATTTTGTGAATATAACACAACTATAAACAACTGTCATACAAGTGGAAGGTTTAGCCCGTGCCACGTCAGGAATTTTCCTCGGAGTTCGGTATTTTTGTTATTTTACCTTTTAGCTATGTATTCTACATAGACCTCAATCAAACACTTCCTGTTACGGTGTTATGATTCAAAAACAGCAAATACATTCCCAGTTACCATCAGACACGATAAGCTGTGATTTCAACATAATCCGCGATTATCATGCACGTCCCATGACGTTACTCCAACATAAACAACTGATTTGAATCTTTCACACGGCTCTTAACAGGATAAAATGCTCGCCAATGCCTATCTTTCTTCCTATCTCTAAGCCTGATACAAATAATTTTAAATTTTTAGAAAATGTATAGATATTGTATGTGTATATGACGTGGTAACGTAAACTTTATTTTTGTATATATTATAATATAAAAATTAAATGATGTGGTATGATTGCAAATGAGACAACTCTTCACCAGAGACCAAATGACACAGAAACTAACAACTATAGGTCACCCTTACTCTAATGATATTAATCAGTGGAGTAACAACTATCATAAATTGGTTTAAACATTACTGTTTTTAGTATAAATATAGAGATGCATCTGTCATATCTTGATTTTAGAGCAAAGTGCTTTATCTGAACACGTTTTGTGTCTTCTTTATGTATCAATTTTACACCAATTTTACATGTTGATTTAGTAATGAATAAATAGACGTTTTGTTCAATTGATAATGTCAATCCACAATAAAGGAACTAAATGGTCGTATACCGGGTACGTCAGGTGAACCGACGTTTCTCTTATACAATCAAACCTTCAGAAAATGTCTCCTTTATTAATCGAATCTATACATTTTAAACCTCAACTTAAAGATTACCCGTATTATAAGGCATTTTTCTCTGGTACTGAGGGCGTCTTTTATTCACAGTGTGGCGATTTTTGTATAAATACAATGTAATTTGTAAACACCCCCTTATCATATGCACGTGGCTGCGTATTTGTGCATCATTAACAGCCAAGTGCCCATAGGTAAGAGCATTTGTACGAGTAATTTAGATTGCAAACATTCCGGTGTATTAAGACATCCTTAAAACATTTAAGGTAGCAATACACAGTTAGGGATTTGGTTTCGCATTTTGGGCTCGGTGAATTTTTCAAATAAATTTGACTTAGTAGATAGCTGAAGAATACCAAAGCCTTCAAAGTGCATTTATATGAACATCAAGATTCTTGTTTGCATGTTTTATATGTCATTTTCTGTTTAACAGTCTTTATTTTCACATCCGTATCGCCCATAGGTCCATATATTATCGTAGTGTATTCCAACAAATATATTACGCTCGAACTTTTCAATTCAATTTTCTGGGGAAAATAGAGGTAAGATACATTTGATATTTATTTGACCTCTAGATAGATAAATGTCAATGGTTTCAGAAAATGTACCACTCAAATAGATTGATATTCTACTTTGGAACAAATTTTGAGGACTGTTGTTTCAATACATATGCACATACATGACACAAACAGTAAGCCTTATTTGTTAGAAAGCACGGGAAAGAGGGTGGTTAAATTGTGAGAGTCAATTTTAATATGTATTCCTAACTTTGTAATGCTACCTAAAGCTGCTCTTGGTACAATGTACATTACATCATAATCCTGATGATCGCTTTACGCCATTTTTACTAAACAAGCTCTAAATAAACCCATGTTTAGATAACTTGTGATTGTTGACAAAGAGAACCACATATTCAACACTACCAGCAAGTTCACAATGGACAAAAGAAATACGAAGAGAGAGAGAGAGGGAGCGTTTGAATTTCCGACCGGTGATATTTTTATTATGTTGCGATTTAAATTGCTCTTAATGAGGTATATCCCCGGTATCCAGTCATACAAACATAACTTTGTAAGATGGTTAAAAGCCACATTATTCCTTTTTCTAGATTATTAGGATCAAAGATGTCGATAAAAATGTCAACAACCAATATAGAATAACATTTAATTCAATTATCTATATATATAACTAAACAGAACTATATTAAATTTGAATGATGACTGTTACTGAATACTAAAAGTTTTTATTTCAGTTTTGACAAAACATAACATATAGTTTGAGTTTAGGGTTTGTTCTCCTAAATATTTTAAGAATGAGCATTTTGATGGATAGAAGATAGGGAGGTATGAAAACTCTAATGACAAAAACGTGTTATCTTGATCTTGTTGAAGTCTACCCCGCATGTAACGTCTTGTATTTATATAGCAATCTGCTTTTATATTTTCAGAAGTTAGAAAAACTGCAAACTGATCATGAAGATCAATTTTTGCATTTAAAATATAGCATTGACGTTTTACATCAACAGATAGCAAGAATGAAAACAGCTCCATCAATGGAGCAGCGACGACGTAAGTTAATTGAAACACTAAGATATCCAGATAGGGACGCATCGTATACATTAAGTTATGTTACATATGTACAAGTGGCGGTAAAGACAGTTTATTTTTTTTTATATTCTGCGTTGGTACCGCTTCTGCCGGACACCAATATAATCTGCCCTGTAGTCAATATTGAGTACTGGCATGATGTAAATTATACAGTTTGTCTGTAAATCCAATTATGTCCTAAAACTAAGGTTGAAACTCCGAAAGTTGACCATAGGTATAAAACTTCTTTATTTTTATGAATTTCCATTTTCTTATCAGTAATGTAATTTTGTCGTTATCGTTATTTATGTATGGATAACAACTCACCAAAGATATAAATATATATCAAATTTCGATTATTACTCTAGCTCTAGCACTTGTGTTTTTTTATAACAACACATTTCTTTCGTAATTAAACAACTCTTATGGTACCTGTTTTCATTGTAGTTAGCTCGCTTGTTCGCCTTTCAATTAATTATACTGTGTATTCAAATTTTAGATGTTCAAGAAACAACCAAAGCAAATCGCCCTTTCTACCATGATAACATTGGAATGCACAAGGAAGTTCTGCGGGAATGCCTAGAACAAATGGTTAAAGATATTGACCTAGAGAACACGGATCTTTTAGATGACCTTCAAACAGCAGAATGTCTGACGAGTGATGAAGCTGCCGAAATCATACGTAAACCATCTAGACGAGATCAAGTCCGAAAACTTGTATTACATTTAGGAAGGAAAAGTCGTGAAAGATTTTCCGTGTTTTTAGAAAATATTCAAAAAACTTCGAACTATCCACACCTAGCAAACAATTTAATGCAATCATACAACAAAAGGATGGAACGAGGAACTGCAGTACCGCCTGTTTCAAAATGTCTTGTTTGCGTTCTGAAGCAAGACGTTTTTGTGAAGGATGTCATTGACAAACTGTACAGTAATGGTTTGGTCTCTACGGAAACATTTGAACTTGTTATAGATCAAGTTGAGTATGATAATAAGATGAATTGGGAAATAATATTAACTCAGCTAAAGCGTTCTCGTGATCCTCGAAAGGCTAGACAGGTTTTGCAAGAAGCATTGTCAAGGAAATATGAACACATATCAGCACGTATAAATAAAACCCACTTTCCTGAAATTATGTGTCAATGCAGAAATATTAACAAGAAATTATTATTCATTCCAGCCAGTCTAAATTCAAATACCACTGGAAGTCTTGGTGACGTAAGCACAACATCTGAGCGTAGAACTTTTCCAAATAGTGCTCTCCAGAACCAAACACGTGAGTCACTAAGTTCTGCAAAAAGTGACAATTCTACACAGATCGACTATAGTAATATTCCAAGCACTGTAGCATGGCTTGAATCAATCCCAAATGATCAATTCGTAGAGGTCAACAATGACATTTCTGATGTTGTGAATGAACTTGTGAATGAAACCCAGTCTATTGCATCGATGGACATAGATTCCGTAAGTAAAACGGGGAATTTAGAAATTGATAAAGAATTGGAGAGTAAAAGTACTACTACGTTTGAAAGTAAAAGCTCTTTCCATGGAAAAAGTGACAAATCTTCAACACCTCAATCGTATGCAAGTGTCGTATCTAGAAAGTCGTCTACTTCAGAACCTGCATTTACAAAAAGATTTAATGATAATATGTCTCATGCTGTGAAGAACAAATGCCAATTAAAGTCCCATGTTACGTCAGGTAGAAACAAACATGCATCAATAACCAGACCAGCAGAAAGCCTGAGTGAAATAGGTACAATTTACTTGTCAAAGACTGAAAAACCAAAATCTTCTACTTCAACAACCAATCGTCGTTCAAAACAATCTATGTCCAGGTGCAACGATCCTGTCACTGCCTTAAACAAAGACCAAAACACGGATAGAATGCCTAAAGGCACAAAAATACCAAGTTCTAATCAGTCAGATCATTGTTCAATTTTACAAAATGTATTTTTTGAAGAACAGAGAAAAATACATGGGGAATGTTCACTTGGAAATACTGAAAACAGTAATCGTCCCTCTACATTTACAGTGAAACAAAGCGGAAATCAATTGTCTAAATCTAAAGATACATCAAAGGAAAATTGTCTTCAGCCGACTACAAGGTGTTCTCCAGGGGACAGTAAACAGAGTCATGGAAATAAGAAAAGAAGAAAAAGACGGAAATGATATTTTATTAATAAACTACCTCGCAACAGATTAAAAGTAGGCTCTTTACTCGCACAAAATAAAGCTAGGTTACGAAGTTCAAGTAAAGGATAGTTATCACCAACCACATCATTTACCTCTAAGGGGAAGTAACATGTCGGATTAATAATAAATTTTTTTACGTATAAAAGTTCTTCGTTTTTTACTTTACTAAGTGTGTTTGGCTAGGAAATTGGTCAATGCAACTTTACAATATAATAAACCAAAAAAAAAAGGAAATATTCATCGTGTAACCACAAATTCGGTACTGGCATGATATGTATGATGCATTTTCTGTAAATTTAAAGAACTGAAACTATGTATAATTGTAAGTATTAACAGGCATCTTCGACGGTTTTGTTCTGTTGAGGTTTCCTTATTTATTGTCTCGTGTGTACCTGGTGACGATATTCCGACTACTATATTCACTTCAATCATTTTCAATTTCCATCTTTCCGCATTAAAAAAGAGACTAAAAATGGCAAATGTTGAAAACTCAGGTCAGTTGAAAATTTGAAGGAATATTTCAAATACTAGATATGGTACAAATGAAATGTATCAATTTAATATGTAGTTAGATGAATAAAATAATTATAAATCTTTGAAAATTAACCGGTGTTCATTTTTAAGCTGGCATATGAGTCGTACTCTCACTGAGTCTCCGACAACCTTCATTGGGACATACGTGTGGTTGAAGCATCTGCGTCTATATAAATACAGCGTTCTTAACACCATAAATATGATTGCATGACTGACAAATATTTTTAAAGTGGTCTTGTGGAATGACTGACTTGCTACAGGTCATTAAGCAACACTGTAATTATTGTTTTACTTCATTAAATGTCGTGTATATTCTATAAAGTATATGTTATATCTTAAAGAGAGGCGAAGATACCAAAGTGATATTCAAACTCATGAGTCGAAAACAAACTGACAATGCCATGACATTTCCTTTTTAATCCTCCCCGACAAAATGCCGGACACATTTTTTAACCCCTTTCCGTCCCAAATAAGGAACACGGTTGGTCCAGTTAACTCCACCTGCTAATTTTAAGCTAAAACTGTTATATTATGTAGGATGTTAGTACATATACTAATGGTGTGCGTAGTATCAGGATTTCAATTTTCTTTAACTTGTGACAGGATCTTGAACTTTGTCATTGTTTTGGTGAAATTCTGAATGTACCATGGTTTGCCCTGCTAACTCCTCCTTGAACCTGATTTAAAGCTTGAATTCGTATATTATTCAGAATGTAAGTACATATATACTTAGGTTGTGCATATTGTCAGAGTTTTGATTTATTTTCTTTATTTATAGTCCACACACGACAGGTTGCTGAACTTTGTCATTTGTGGGGTAAAACTATGTCTGCTTGGTACATGGCTTTTCTGGCAAATTCCTCTTACAGTTTACATGCCAAACCCTCTATACGATGCAACTTGTTAGTACAAATACTAAGGATGTGCATAATGTTCAGGATTTTGATTTTCTTTAAATTTTCCACAAATCAAAATATGTTGAACTTAGTCATTTTGATGCCCCTCCTTCTCTTTGCAAAACATACACAGTTGTGAAGTTTGAAATGTACAGCAACTAAATTTTCCTACATTATGGAATAAATCATAAATATGGCGGTACATCAAATGTTTGTTAAAGACACAAACATTTCCAATTGTTCTTTAACATCGGGGTTTGCTAAATCTAATGATTGCTGAACTATATCCATTCGTGCGGAGGGTATCATCTTTGTCTAGTCTCTTTTATTTTTTACATTTATTTTTATAGAGTTGTAAAATCAACGATAACAGAATAAAGATATTTGCTTCTTGATCAGATCTTGACCGTACGATCATAACCAATACACCATGAGTATGACTTATAAACAATTGTCATACAAGTGGGAGGTTTGGCTAGCTATAAAAACAGGTTAACCCACCATTTTCTTCAGAAAATGCCTGTACCAAGGAATATAGCAGTTGTTTTTCACTTGTTCCGTTGATTGATAGTGTTTGGTTTTGTCAGTTTTTTTTTTGGATTTCCCCTTTTTGAATTTGCCTTGGAGTTCAGTATTTTTGTTATACTTTTTTTGCTCAATTGACATCAGCTATTTCGTTACCACTAAAGATTGTTCTGTTTAATAAAGAAAATCGGTGTATTGATGCATCAACAGCTTGATTCAAATCTCTCTGAAGGAATGATACAAATTTGTCAGTGCAAAATGCATTATAATCATTGTTTCGCTGAACTCTTTATAAGTATATATTGTGAGTGCCTGGTATAGACATTGCATTGGATCAGCTGTACAATGGGGAAAAATAACTGTAAAGTTAAAACAAGTAGTGGTATGTACAAATACAATTGTTGTGACTGTATGACAAGAAACTTTGGAAGCCTTAACTGTATGTTTAAATAATGAAATGCAAAGATGTACCATCTCTAGCCCACTGTATAAAGCACGTATTGTGTTGGAACCGTAGAATAAGCCAACGAGGAAAGGCTTCATTCGACTGAATATTTTGGTATGTCCAAGGCGCTGAAAATTAAACTTTATTTTGTGTAACATAGTCATGAACATAAATTCACAGCTACTATTCGGAATTACTTGATCACATCTTTTGATCGGACTGACTTTTGACCTTATTGGTCACACGACAGACAAAACATATATGAATTGTACTGTAACGAGTTTTACACTATGTTTTTTATGTTGACAGATCTTATAAAAGTCTAAATTTGCAATTTTTAATATAAAAAACATAGTAAAGATTCAATCTGGAGCAGTATTTGCCGCTTAAGAGAGTTACAATTTTAGTCGTAATGGCATAGAGTTATGATGAATAACACGTACAGATAAATATGACCTTTGACAATAAAGTCGCGGAAAAATCAAAAAATCAAAAAGGATACTAACTTATTCAACTGCATGGCACTAGGAAATTTATTTTTTTTAATATATAATCTACAAGAATTTTCTTTTTTCTAGCAAATATAAAAAAAAAATAATATATCAAGAATGTAAAAATGAATAAGGATTAAAAACTGTCACCCCAAATTAAGCCATTCAATACTTCGATCATATGATAAATTGAGGAAAAACTAATATGCTCAATTGTAACTGTCAATCTGTGGACCACGTAGAAACATAACCGGTTTTGTTTATAGACCAAGACAATTAATACATACTTAAAATGGCCTTTCTTTGATTTTTGCGTGTATTATCAACAATTAATAAAACTAGCATGAAATTTATATTACCATACATGTCAAATCCGATAAATAAAATGCATGTCAATAAATACATTTGTATATATTTATCTGTAACATGTGTTGTGGGATATTGATTGTCATCAGTACTAGATCAGATTTACCGGATATCTATAGAAATGAAAAAGTTAGCATGGGGACTGTAGACAAAGCTTTTCTAAAGGCAGGTCAAGGTCCAGGCCTAGAAATATGGAGGATAGAAGTAAGAAATTTATTTGTATTTTATTATAAAAATGTATGCAAGGTTTTTTTCAAGATCATTGTTGATATCTTTAAAAAGTGTCAAATATTTTACAGTTTCCTTTGTATGTTTCATTCTGAATATTGAATTTACATTATGATTATGGGAACTATACAGAACCTTTTTCAAAACATGAAAATGGTCCAGAATATAATCATGTAGATATATTTTTCTTGAATATGAAAGTAACGTTATCGTTTGATGTGAGATGCCCGAGTGGAATAGGTTTCTGTACATGCATGAACATGAGTCAGTTATAAGTGATTCAACATGAAGACAGTCATTTTTACAGACGCCATTCTATAAATCATGATGAAACCCAAGTTCTAAGAGTCCGCATTCGTTTATAGTGGCGTCTTACTCAGAAATGTGTTGGGCAAGTTATAGAGGATAACGAGCAGCTTCTATAAAAGAGATAGAAAATGGAACATACAGACAAATTACTAAAATATTATAGTTATAGACAATCTTTAAGTCAGTACACCTGCGACTAATAACGGTTATAGAACTCGCAAAAATCGTTCGTTTAAAATAAAGGTTCAATCAAGCAAACGACCATGACACGTGTAGACAGCAACTGAATTCAGTGATTCGTCATTAATGCTTTTTCGATTGAATCAGAACCTTGATTCAAAACATAAGAATTGATATAGATCCAATGTAAAATCATAATTTTCCCCATGTGCCCAACATTATAATCAAACCAAGTAACCCACCAATAAATACAGAATATTTAGAAGATACCATAGGAAATCAAAATCACGTGACCAATATTAGAATTCACCAATCTACAACTTCCAAATAGTTTGAAATTATCATATGAAATAATTTAACCTTTCTAAAAAGGTACGGAAAAAGAATGTGACAAATATTGTGATATAAGTCTTTTTTATTCTAGAAAATGAAGGTAATTCTACAAGAACCAAAGACGTATGGAGAATTCTACACCGGCGATTCATACATCCTTCTACATGTAGGTGTTGTTGTTATTTACACAATTTCTACTACTACTACGGGGGTGTTTAACGACCTTGACTACCCATGATGGTCTCGCACGGTCGGTACATAATTTAAATTCCCAGACAAGTTTTTTATTATCATTACATCATCAGCCTCTTTTCCAACTTCTTATCCCTATTAAGTTTGCTTTTTGTTTGTTATATACTATTGACTTTTGATTTGTCTCTTTCACATTAAGGGGCATAATAGATATATAACCAACGAGGCCACCTGTTGAGAGTTATTAGTCATGTTAAGGATCGTTTTACAGTGAATCCATATGATGTTCTGAAATGATAACAAAAAAATATTTGAATAAATGCAATGTGATATTTCACATCGACAATTAATGAGCAGTTATGTTTTAAAAACGATTTTATAAAATGTATTTTAAAACTGAAAAAACAATCATATAATATTTCATAACTGGTTTGTTATAAATTACTACATAAACACATTGTGATATACATAAAAGACAATGTATTCTTCATTACTAATGTTTCAAAGCAAGTTTATTAAACGTCCATTTGTATTATTTCTTACTTTATCTTTTAGACAAAGAAAAATATAAAGAGTGAAAAGTTGGAATGGAATATTCATTTTTGGTTAGGGAATGACACATCTCAGGTAAAATGATATTTAAAAAAAACTAAGTATTATTTCCTTATTTTATATAGTTTA